TTCTTTTAGATCATAATTTTGATAGAAACATGTGAACATTTTTGAGTATGAACGAAACTCAGGTTCCGAGTGAAAACTGATGCAGTATGCAAAGTATAACAATACTACGAAAAATTTCCAGAACGACACTGGAAATAAAATGAAGTAAAATGACTGTACCGTAATCTCGCAGTGTCACCTGAACAAAACAAAAGCTTTGTCAATACGGGAACCATGATAAGAACTCATAGTTCTACTTGAATGTCAACAAAAATCGAAAAACGAAACAGGACTTCGTCAGACTGCAGAAACATACCTAATACTGATGAAAATCACTCTGAATAAGAGCATAGTATACAAAATCGTGAAACTACAAACATGTCGTTGAATCACTGAAAGATCTGCAGATTCTGATGGAAAGTTTTAATGTTACAAAGAATATCAGGCAACACTTGACAATCATTGGAGCTGATGCAATACGCCATATGTGGTAGACTTGGAAATTACGTGAAAAACATATCTCTACCGCTGCTGAATGTTTTGAGCATTCGAGATTTTGATTTAGAATATTATTGATGAGCATCTAGCAATTTTCTAGGAGGCTTATGGAACTACTGATGGGCAATAAGAGCTGGGAAGAAAAACAAGACAAAGACTACATGATCAGGAGATCGAAGAAGTCGTTGCTGAGCTATAGGGAATGATATGTTGGTTCCTTAACACATTAAAGAAATGGTCTCTATAGAAATCGTGAGTGAAACTCAGAGGTTTCCGACTCCAAATAAAAATCGACAGGTATACCAAGATTGATGGTAACGATCACTACACTCAAGTAGATTAATACGAAGGATTTCGAGGCTGGTTAGAACTAAAGAGAGCTGAGAGATTGGTAGTAAAACGTCGAACATGACTTATCCTGGTTAGAAAGTGAATTTCTCATATGTTATCATACCTAATTGTAGGTTGAGTATGAAAATGATTTACCAATAGAAATCAGTACTAGACTACGATTGATAACAGTGGGATCTTCGTATGTTTTAAAGTACTGTTTCAAGCCAGTTTCGATTGCAAATATTTTGTGCAGCGAAAAAATATGCTTCATCAACCATTAATATTTTTCATGTTTATCCAGCATATGGGGCAAAAAAACCGGGAAGGTAACGATTCGTAACGGTTGGTTACGAAAGCCCAGTAAGAAGCAGGGCTTTCGTAACAATGTAAAATGCATAAATCATAAAAAGCAGGGCTTTCGTATCGATTTTCGACAGGGCTTTCGTATCGTTTTAGACAGGGCTTTCGTATCAAGTTTACAGGGCCTTCGTAACAATTTTGACAGGGTCTTCGTATCGGTCTTACAGGATCTTCGTACCGTTCTTACAGGGCTATCGTAACGTAAAAGGATTTGGTATGATCTTTAGTCAGATGTTGCTGACAGGATTTCATATTGAAATTAGGGATCTACCAAAATTATAACATAAATAGTTCAAAAGTAGAAAGTGAGAACCAGCATATAAGTATAGACAAATTTTTATCTTCTTGTAAATCTCTTTCTTAGTAACAACAAAAAGTAACAAAAACCAGGCAATATATAAAGAGAGAAGAGTGAACGAGAACAATATCCAGATAATAGAATTAAGAATACACATAATTGATTTCCTCGATTTTAAGTCAACAACTTTCACAAAAAAAGGCGTACACAATTCTGGAAAAACATAGAGAACTAGAAATAACAACGACATCTATGAATGTATACAAATAATTCATTCACAGTATAGTACCATGTATTTGGACCATTTAAGTATATAAAACTTGTTACGAATGGATCCCACTTAATGACTTAAGCTATATTTGTAAGCATGGGTATTCGTAACGAATGCCCTGTTCTTTTTAGTGCCAGTCTTTCATTTTAGTTATGAATGCAATAAGAACTTGATTACGAAAGCCCTGTCAAAAACGATACGAAAGCCTTGTATAAGTTTGATACAAAAGCCCTGTCAAAATTTGATACGAAAGCCTTGTCAGAATTTGTTACGAAAGCCCTGTCAAAATTCGTTACGAAAGCCCTGTAGTAAAAACGATGACAGGGCTTTCGTATTACGAAAGCCCTGTAAATTTCTCGTTACGAATCGTTACACCCCCAAAAAACCAACTGAATAAGCAGTATAATGCATATTATCTCCATCATTACAATATGCATGTATTGACGTAAATAAAACTAAGCAATCGGAGAGTGATAAAACAAGGAAAACGATGATATTATATCCCCTTTAAACATATATGTTATTATAGCTTCTTCGTTAACTAACTGACGGTACGGCTGAATGCACACACATATTGTTTTGTTTTTTGTATTCATTATATGCATACAAACAAAATAATAGTTGAGTATCACACCAACAATCTTGTCGATATATTACACTGTTATTACTGTGCTTAACACAAATTTACATACGAATACAACGAGAATATGTAAATGTTCTGAAAAAAGTCATATTCTCAGATCTGTCTGTGATATCAATAAGCTATGATATTTATTATTAGCATCTTTAAAGTAGAATACATGGGTACTCTTATGCTACTTCATATTCGAAAAAATTGTCTCGTCAAAAGTAACATACTATGGTATGTGAAAAAGAAGTTTAAGTAATAATAATGATACAAAATAGTCTCTCTAAACAGGTTTCTGAGGAAGAACACAACTCGAATAATGAATTCCGAGTGAATTAAATTGACAGTAATTTCTTGTGTATTTTATACATATTAATGTTGTGGTCATAATTATAAGTTGTTTTGATGAACTATACAAACATCATGGTCGTCGATACGGATACAAAGAAGACAATAATTGCTGTCTTAATGGGTAACCGCTCCAATGGTGAATAGGACTGTAGTAGCAGATCGATACCGAACCGAGTGGTTTTTGCTAGTTTTCTTTTATTTTTTTAACAGTATGTTCATTTATGGTATAGATGGCATATATTGAGAGAGTTAACAGTTTCATGTCAAGAATTGAAAATTTCAATATGAAAGAGAGAAAGACAACGTCATATAAAATTGATGCTATGTCAATATGACAAAACTATGAAATTCTAAAAGTTTCGAATGAAATTATATCGATTGTTATATTCTATCTAATAAACAGCGATGATTATCTTCGAAAGTCAATTTTAAATTTAATGAATATTTTTCTATATCTTTTAAATGTTTATGATTTATCTTCTCTAGCTAAAAGATGATTAATCTGTCATGTCTTCATGTTTAAATTGTAAATTTTCTCATCAGTAACATGACTAAGATTGATCTTGATAAATTGAAAAGTTGTCAACTAGAAACTCAACTAAAATTAAAATAATTCAGTTTAATGAAAAAACATTATAAACTCTTATGAAAAAGTGATCAAACAATATTTTCTTTTGTTGGAAATCATGAATAAGAATGATGTAGAAAATGTTCTTGAAAGTTAAGCAGCATGATGAATCTTTGAATTTTTTTTCTTTTTTGGCATCAATTTATGTCATAGACGAAATAAAGAAGGTCAAAAGAACAATATGTTTTTAATATCATATATGAATGTACAAAAGAAATATTCACCTGAAACTTCATAATAACCAAAAAATACTTAATTCAAGGCACTATCATTAACTCCAGTATTCATACAAAAATTTTGTTGGTAAATAAAATAAAATTTCGAATAAATATCAAATCAAAGTGAAAGATGATGAATTGCAATTAATAGTTGGTGGAAGACATAGTTTATGTCATGATACTGTTGATAATCTTAAAACTATTTATGAATGTTTATTGATGAAATTTGATGCATATATTAAATTAATAAGAGATGTTCCTGATGAAGTAATCAAGAAGAATTTCGAGACAACAGCATGTGATTTATTCTTTGAAGATTTTTAAACGAATATAGTCACATTCTAATGTATTTTGCATAACAAAACAGTATGAATCCAACAATAAATTGTTAAGATATAAATATTTTGAAGAGAAAACAAAAGTAGTAATGAATATTTGGAATGAATGTAAACAAAGTGTATACTCCTATTTTATGAATCATGGAATTAATTTTTCATTTCGAATGGTACATTTTTTTTTCTAATGTTTACTAAAATTCATTTTTCATTTCATTCAATCTAACTTTTAATGATAATTTAATAAGTACGGATTTTGGTATTAGTATAGTCACTACATGTAGAATTATAAATGAAATGTTAACACAGTATTGGGAATGATACAATGAAGAAGTGTCGAAATTGTGAAATTTTTGACATTATCTAAGATATTTGAGAAAGTTTATAAACTAAATGAATGAATTAAAAACATTGTTAAAATCAATCAACTATAATGATGAAATTTATCTATAAAGATCGTATTTTGCATGCATAAAACAAGCAATTCAAAGTAGACAGACAAAAGAAGTCTAAAAACCATAAATCTCATCTGTTTAAACAGTGTAGTATACCTCAAAAAAAAAACCGTTCATTGGATTGCAAAACTTTTATTTAGCAACTTCTGCCTCAGAAGCAATATTTTTCCTTAAAATGTTTGTTTTTTTCTTCACTGTAAACAGTTCAGATTCGTGAAGATCTTGAATTTCTGAGTTAGATAAAATGTTTTTCTTTAGATTTCAATAAATAGCTATACAATGACAGTTGGGGTGTGAATGCGGCTATCCGTATGATTCTTATCATCATTTCACCCACACCCTCGTTCAATACAGCATTTGTTTATCTTCATTTTTACAACAACAACTAATATGTTGACAGTACATGTATATGTAAAACGTAAGAATTTTTGGCCAGAGAACTCTAAATTCGACTAGTTTTCCGTCTAACATTAATGCTAATGGTTAATCTTGAATTTTCTTAACTATGCATAGTTCATAGATGTAATTTTTCCTTTTCTTTCTAGTAAATGAAAATTTACTAGACATCAAAAACAAAAAAAAATTTATTAAAAAAAGAAAAACTAACAATGAAATTATAACAAAAAATATTCGTTTATTTTTTTGTTTATGTTTCTTTATGTCGACCATTCATTCGACTACGTGGTGCACGTCGAACATTTTTTCGATAATCATCATTTGTTTCTTTTCGATTATTTTTATTTGATGATGGTACTTGATTTCGATGTTGTAAATGAGAAGAAGCTGAATCAATAGTTCTTTTTGTTCGTTCATTAAATGATAATGAACGAATTGTTTCTTGATCAGTATCATTTATTGTATCAATTGGTACTAATTTTGTTTTACGATTAGGTTTTTCTTTTTCTTCTTCTTCTTCTTCTTCTTCTTCAGAGGTTAGAATATCATCAATCAAATCATCATCATCTTCTCTTTCTTCTTCATCATTTTCAATCTTAATTTAAGTAAAAAAAAAAAAGTTATGAAATGTCTTTTTGTGTTTTTACTCATACCGATATTGATTCATCTTCAACGACATTTTGTTTATTAAGTCGAGAAACAAGTGGAGCAATATTTTTAAAATTTTCATGATTAATATCAATTTGCATATCTGGATTTGTAAATAATGATTGAAATCGAGTATCTTTAAGAATAGATGGTGTTTCCTATACAAAAAAAAATATACATTAAAAAAGTATAGATATCATTCTCAGTTCTCTTCTATTCATAGTTTTCCTAATGTTAAATTTCCATTTATAAATTAAGACATTTTCAATTGAAACGTATGTCAAATGAGTATATAGTTAAATCAATATTTTCATTTACTTTATTTTTAATATCTTGAAAACAGAAAAAGAACAATAGGAATTTTTTAATTGATTCTAAAAATTTTGTAGGAAAATCTATGAAATTAGATACTTTTCAATTATTTTAGCAATTGTCTTCATTAAATAATTCAATTCTAATTTTAGTTAGACATCAATTTTTGATGGATCATTTTGTAAAAAAAAAAGAAAAGATTGCAATCAAAACAAAATATTTTTTCTTTATCGCAAAAAATTAATCTAAGATGTTTCTGTAAGTTCAGATAAAAAAAAATAAATTTTTATTCATCATGATATATTGAACTAGGCAAACTATGAATGAAGAAAAACTTAGGATAATTCTTATGTGCTCTCTGTCATTTTGTCTAACAGCAATAATGAAAAAAATTTACTTTATTTTCAGTAGTTTTTTGTTTTTTTGTTTTCTTCATAGTTACATCATTTTTATCATGTAAGAGTTTTTCAGCAAGATCTTTATTAACTATTGGTACAATCTATTTTAAGAAAATAAAAGAAAAAAATCATTCTAATAAAAATCTATAAGAAATAATTACTGGCATTGGTATACGAGTTTTTTCTCGTTTAAGATCAATTTTTTCACGTAATTTTTTCTTTCGATATTCAGCAAATGCAAATGGTTCGGCAACAGTTTTAGCCTTAGAAGACAAAAAAACAATAATTAACAAGAAATTTAATATTCTTATATAAAATAATTTACTTGATTATATAGTCGAATATCCATAAAATAACCATGCATATATGCTCGAAGAAGATCAGAACCAATTAAATGAGATAAACCAAGTGTATCAAGTTCTTTTAATGTTAAAAATTTATAATCATCATAAACTAAAAAAAACCATAAACAAAAGATACTTATGTAAAATTAATATCAAACCTGTATCAGCTGGTTTTTCTTCAAGTTCTTCAGTAATATTATCAAGAAATGTACACCATTTTGGTGCATTACCTAATGTCTATAAATAGATATATTTAATAAAAGATTAATTTAATTTTTTATAACATACTGGAATATAATAAACAAATATTTTCGGTGAATCATTAGTTAAACATATTAAACCACTACCAGGTATATTGAGCATATCATTGAGTGGTGTACCTGGTTCGATTGATGTTAAATTTTTACCCTAAATGATCAAATATAAGTTTAATAGAAGCTTTTTAATCGTGATGTAGCTCAATGGGTTCAACCAGAATTGGTTTTCACTTAAGGCCCCCCCCCCCCCTCAAAAAAGTCACTTTTCGTCAGAATCATCGAAATTGAGGGACATTCATGGGGAAATAGCCCATCATCTGCTCTTTCATATACGACAAAAATTTTTATTCAGCATCTCTTTGGCTTCAAAAATTTTGGAAGATTTTCGTCATCTCCTATTTGAAAAACAGGCCATTTTTAGAAAAAACCGAAAATCATTTTTCGTTTTTCTCAGAACGTCGGTTCAACGACGTCTCTCCAGCGGAACTCCATCACAGTAAGAGGTAAAGTCAAATATTGTTTTTTTTGTTTGAAAGCTCATGTGCAGGACTAGCGACTCTCGTGGTCCTTTTTTTAAAATAAGCTTTTTTATTATCATAGAAGATAACCTCTATATCGGAGCAGCGCAATTTTTAGAGAGATTTTTTGAGTCATTGAACTTTCGCTTCGGTTTTTTCCCCTAAAAAGTAAGACTTTAAAAAAAAGGGTCACGAGAGTCGCTGCATTCTGACATGCTCTTTCAAACAAAAAGAATATTAAATGTCTAGAATGAAGACCCACAGAGAACTCGGTTAAACATCGTGCTATAGGACTGAAAATTTGACCATAGCCATGTCCCACCAGTCCCAACACATCCTGAAATTTTCATGTCATTTGAATGTTCCTGGGCTGAGATCCATTTTTGAGGGTGGGGCCTTAAAAAGAAATATTAAACTCCCTCTAAAAGCGTTATCGGATTGGTCCCTGCTCTCGTTACAGATATGGATAACTTTTTTTTCTATATACGATCAAAAGGTTATTTAAAATTCAGTGTGAGATATGAGATTATTTATTAGGATTTTTAACAATAATCAGTGAGAAGAAATATTAAAATATTGATCAGATAATATAACTTCATTAAATTAATAGAAGATTTAATATTGACTTTGAAAACATATATCGATTATAAATTTTCGAAATTCCTATATAGGATTTCGTTTTCTGAATTATATGATTATTTTTACTAAAAAAAAGTAAAAACATTGACCAAAATTTAGGTATTGTACGTTGAATCGCACCTCAAATGTATGTGCTTTACTTGCAAGAAACAGCTATTCACATTACCTGGTTTTTTCGTAATAAGTGATGACCCGGGGGTGGCGAGTAGCGTCGCGAAGATCCCCGTACTCCCTCTCAGGACAAAGACATATCTCGTAAAATTTTTTCACTTTTTTTTGACAAAATATAGGATTTTTCAAAAAAATAGGAATTATAGGACCAATCAGAGCCCAGATTTGCATACATTGTAAACCAAGAGATTCTGTCACATTTGTGATTTTCAACGTACTGAACAAATTTTATTCTTAGTATGTTACAGCAACTTTAGAAAGATAGCTTTTATTCTTATATTTCTTTTACATAGAATCATACTCATCAAGTTTTGAATAATTTTTATAACATTGTACTAAATATATTCAATTATGAAACAATCTCAATATAGAGAAGTAATAGTTGTCAAAATAAGTAAGTTTCTATAATTGAATTATTTACCGTATGTTGATTCCATATTTTACATATTTTCTTATCAATTGATAAAATATAATCATTATTTTGTGTATGAAAATCAATACGTTTTATAGGTAAATTATAATTATGATCTTTTATAAAATATGGTTTATTTGAACGAATATCGAATAATAAAATCTAGAAAAAAAAACAAAGTTAAATACAAAATTAAAACAAAAAAAAAAAAAATTTTTTTCTTTACCTGACCAGTACTCATACCAACAGATACATTAAGTGCATCTTTAAATTTAATACATGATATAGCTGGTAAACTAGAAAATAAGAATAATTTGTTTTTTTTTACGAAAAAAACAAAAGAATAAATTTATATACCTGCTACCACTATTACTATTTGCATAGACAGCACAATCAATTTGTCCAACAAGAGAACGTATACGAGGATCATAACATTCTAAATGACCCTATGATAAGAAAATAAATGAGTTCAATATTTCATATAGAAAAAAGAAAGTTTTTAATTATGTTACTTCAACAGAACCACAAGCAAATAATTCATGTTCAGAATTAAATTCACATGCATTAAAACCACTAAAATACAAAAAGAAAGATTAAATGAATTAAATTTTTTTTTTTTTTAATTTCTTTACGTTAATTTGCTTTGTATAGGTTCAAGATATTGACCTTGTTCAAGATTAAATCGATAAATTTCATTTCTTAAATTAAAAATTTTCTTTCAAAAAAAACAAAAAAAAAAAAATTTATTTAATTTAATTTTTTCTTACGTTGCTCCAACACAATAAAGATCACATGATGAATATCGATAATCAAAAGCTCGTCCTTGTTTTGGTGTACGAATTGTATAATAATTTCCAACTTGTGAATGAAATTCAATATAACGATTAGCATGCATAAATGCAATCTATATATCAAAAATAAAAAAAAAAACCTTCTCTTCAATTGATTTCTCAAATACTAATCAAAATACATGATCTCATCAATGTTTTATTCAGGTTTTTGTCTCCGGAGGGGCGATTTGAAATCCCGGGAAGGCAAAAAATTTTTTTCGGGATGGGGCAAGCCATATAGTTCGTCGCGAGTCTCGAGGGGGAGCCCTCCTCTAGATAAAACACTGCATCCTATGTAATTCAAACCGCATAAAAACTGATGGTATACTAATAGTAGTACGAACAAACGGGCAACATGGAATATGATGTGTGTGTATTTCATAAAATAGCTATTCGCCCTCTAAGAGTTTTAAATCGCTTGTTCGAAAGACAAAACTGTCAGCACAATTTCTGCAAGGTTAAAATATGAAACACAAGATTGTTGTTGCTAGTGACGAGGGAAATTGTTTTAGGACATATTTCTTCATCATCATCTTTGTTACTTAATCCTTTATAATTCAATTTCGCATGTTATAATGAAACGATAAGTTTATTTTAATTTTATTGAATTACACGGGAAGATTATTTGAGAGACTGATATATATTACTATGAGTATAATCTATTTAAACGATTTCTTATCAATAAAAGATAAAATCTCTGCAGTTTCTGTGATGATCTTTCTTCTGATCGAGACTTTAACGATAGAAATTGGTGATTTTAGGGATATACCGAGACTGAGAGTCTCTCTACATCCGTAGGTGATTTCAAATTGAAATCACAACCAATGATTCTATATTACAGAAGACTAACGGTTTCGATATGAAAGATATCAATTCAATTAGAAAATAATCGCCTTGGCAATACGAATGGGTCATGTATATTATTCATTCTGCATGTTTACAATCAAAAGAATAATATATTAAATAATTATTTTTACTTTTGAATAATCTTCTGAAAGTATTTTCATTTGTATACATTCATTATCAAAACATCGTTCAAATTTTAATGATAATTCATTCACATCATAACAACGAACACGTGGTTTATAAGAACCTAAGAATAATAATATTTATTAATTATATTTATTTCATCTAAATTACCAGTAACAAATATATATTGACCATCACGTGTCATTGATATACAACTACTTAACATTGGCATTTCAAAACCTTGTATAAGTTCAATACGTTGTTTTACATCTAAATATTCAATAGATTAAATTCAAAAAATTCAAAAAAAAGAATTAAAAATTTACCAGCTTCTTTCTTCAATTTTTTTCTTTTATCATCGGTAAGCCACTATTAGAAAACAAAATAAATATATATATATTCATTATATTCAATTTACTTCTGGCACTGCTTTTTGACCACATGTTAAATTATAAACACGAACATCATTAACATTTGTTACTTGCATGATTTATCTGAAAATAAAAATTTTTTTAAAAACAGTTTATTTCTTCTAGAAAAAGTCTCGACAAAAAAAAAACAAAAGAGAGGCTATCATCCATAATAAGCCACTATTGATTAATTTATCAATTCGATTTTATCATATTGATATCTACTGTTATCATAACACTGACAATCAAAGATATAAAATTAATACATATATCATTCGTAGTAGCTAAAATTTTTCAATGATCTTTTTGAAAATTTCAAGATAAAATAATGGTAGAAAACATAATAATAAGAAGAAAATAGACAGAAATATTCCTGAAAATTAATCGTAGATATTAAAATTTTTGATATTAACTAGTATCTGTTTATGTTTCAGTAGTATGACCGATCTGCAAGAATATTAATAATTGTTCAAGATTCGATCTTTTGAATAATCTCAAAAATCTATATTTTAAACTTTTAAAAAAGAAAAATATGTTAATATATTTTATTGAAAATTTAAATCGATCTCAAAAAAAAACTGAACATTTTAATCACTGATATTTCACAATGACTTATTATACAAATACAACCAAACATATTATTTTACAATGAGAAAGATTAATTCAAAACAAAAAGAAAAGAATTTTTTTTTAAATTTTTCTATACATAAAAAATATAAAGATATAATACATCGTATATATTAATAATAATAATAATGTAGAATTTAATTTAATTTTTCATTTGATAATTGTTGCCGCTGTTCAGCTTTAATTTGTGCTTGAATCATAAGAGCTATTTGCCATTGTTTTAATTTAATTATATCAGTTCCATCAGGAATAATATCTGGTTTAACATGATCAAACCATGAACGATATTTAAATACAATTGAAGGATATTTTAATAAAATAGAATCATAAAACCATTCTGATGATATATTATCCATTCGATAATTATGATTTTCATAGACTAAAAATTGAATATTAAAATAATCAAAATAAATGTTTGTTTTTTTTTTTATTGAATAAATTTTTACCTATTTCAATAGCTTTATTCATAGCAAATAATCGAGCTTCATCTAATGTTAAAATTTTTTCTTTATTATAATTTAAAATATTTTCAACAATTTGTTTTTGTTCATAATTTGATAATGGTGGAATATTAGCATAAGAAAAATATATAAATGGACATGATGTTTGTTGATCATGAGTTGTTGGTACATATTCATATTCTATTTCATTATCATTATTTAATTTTTTTGTATTTGTAAGTAATGATGAAATTTCTTTTTCATTTGATGTAGATATTGATTGATTTAATCTTGATCTTATTGAATAAGTATTATTGTTATTTGATATCTAAAATGAAAAAAAAAAATTTTTTTGAGCACTACAAAATAAAACAAATGAGCACAAAGAATAAGACATTTGAGCATCAAAGTTAATCTAGTTAATGGTGTTTGACTTAGTAGTAAAAAATACGAAAATATTATGGATATTATTTAATTGAATAATAAGGAATAAATGTGGCATGTAAATCATCAGCATTATATTGATGATTATTACACACTATTGATTAAAGTCGTATACTGAAAAAAATATAGGGATTGTTTTTTCGTCGAACATAAGCAATTACATTTTGATAATTGATTAGTTGATAATGAAATAAGTGGATAATCTATAGATAATATAGTTTTAGTATGACTTTGTGTAAGATTACATTTGACACGTTTTTCAACTGATGCACGTATTCGAAAAGGTAAGCGACAGATATGGACAAAATCGCACCGCGCCTCCCCGCGCCACTGCTCGCGCCTAGGCGCTACGCACATCTCTCTTTCTCTTTGCTCTACCAATCAGTTTCTCGAACTCCACCGAATACTGGGATGCTCTAAGCATGCGCTCATCGAAGCTCAGACTAGTGTAGCGTAGGCGTGAGCAACGGCGCGGGAAAGCGCGAGGAGGCGCGGTGCGACTTTGTCCATCTCTGGTAAGCGACTTGTAGTATTACGTTGTTCATGATAGTATGCATCTTTAAACATTAAATTAATTAGCGTGGAATTAATGCTTGGAACAGAAACTTGTATTTTATATCGACATAACGGATATTTCCGATATTGACAACATCGATATGAATATTTACCCAGTGAAAAATATTTGTTTCAAAGAACGGAAAAGAACGCGTTCTAACAAAAGTGGAAAGCGTTCCAAAATGGGATCATTAAGAACACATTCCATGGTTTTTGGAATGCGTTCTTAACTGTTCCAGCTTTTTTTGGAACGCATTCTTGGTCGTTATTGCTTGAATTTAGATTCACTATAAGAGTTCTCGACGACAAGTTCAAACATAACTTTTTGAAAGATCGATTTTGGTGCAACTCGACGAGCTCTATCCAATGGCGTGCTCTAATTTTTCGCAGCTCAAACTGTTATTAAAAAAAATTTTTTTTGGAAACAGGACTGCCAGTTGTAAGTATGACTAATTGGAGGTTTCACCAGTTTCAGGGTGTCGTACTTCAGAGCTGTCATTATTGAATCAAAAGTGACGTTAAATTCAGATGAAAGCGTTCATCAGTCAAAAGAATCCATTCTCACGTATTTCTCAAGAGAATGTTAACAAAAGGCGATCTCATTTCGATGGAATTCTATCTTGATTGTTTCGAAATAGAATGGGCAGAGACACGCTCATGGAACGGTTCAGAACGCTTTCTATCCAGATAGAGAACGATTATTGAACTGAGAAGAAAGCATTCCATACTAGTGTGGAACAGTAAAGAATGAGTTCCTTTACACTCAGAACTTTTCTTTTTGTTTGTGAAAATGTTCACTAAACTGTAGAACACATCCTTCATGTAAAAGACAAGTCTCTACATTTTTATGAATGTGTTCTCTTCCGTTATTTGTAGAAATATTTTTCACTGGGACGTGATAAAATTAACCAATTTAAGTTGAGCCTATCACAATTCCATAGCTTGTTACTTTAATAATACAATATCAGAATTTAAAAATAAAATAATAATGTTTTAACATTAATTATTTATTGCTCAAATATCTTATTTTGTAGTACTCAAAAAACATATCGTCGATCTAGAATTATGTTTTATTTTCATTAAATATCGTTTATTAATACTTTTTGTTTTTTTATTCATCTTCTCATATGTTTAATTTTAATAACTATTTAAAATTCTTAAACTACAAAATTTCATATCGATTAAACGTCTCGATCTTAGTTCGAATATGAAAAAAATAAAAGTGAATTGTAAAAGAAAATTTTTTTGAAAATCTTACTGATGAATTTAATGTTTTATTATCTTGTTCGTTTATTGTTAAAGTAGATTTTGATTTTCGACCTCGTTTCTTTTTCATCGGTTCTTCATTCATATTTATATTATTATTTGATTGTATTATTTCATTTTGAATTTCAATTGATGGTTGAGAAATTTTTTCTACCGTATTTATTTGATCAGGTAATTCAGAAGAAAGTGATGATGATAATGAACGTATTCGTTTAGGATGTTTATTTGATTTTGTCTATATATATAAGAAAAAATTTTTTTTTTTAAATTTCATTTTAAAATTTACTTTTAAATCATTATTTTTATCAATAGAAACTTTTCGACGAATTTCATCTAATGTATTAAATATTAAAAAAAAAAATGATTATTTATAGAAAAAAATTTTTTTTTTTACCATTCTTTAATTTTTTTTTATCAACTTTAACATCATCTAATAAATCACTAAATTGTTTAATTCGTTCATCTTTTGTCATTGTTAATGCCTTATCTGCTAATTCAATAGCTTCATCCCTAAAATTAATTATTTAAATAGAAAAATTTTAAATAACAATAAAAAATATTCTACCATTGTATACGTTTTTTCATTGAAACTTTTAATTGATAACGATTAGCTAATTCTAATTTTTCTGATTTTGTTGAAGCCTAACTATGAGAAATTATTTAATATGAAAGTTACAACAAAAAAAAAAAATTTAATAATAGATCTACTTGTCGAACGGCTGTTTCAGCATTTTGAATAAAAGTATTTAAACCAGCATATTTTAATAATGAACGTGTTGATAACCATGCATATTCAAGATATTTTCCATAGAAATATACAAAAAATTGTCGTTTTGTTTTATTATTTGAATCTATACAGAATAATTTAAATTAAATTTTCATCATTATAATAATGATTAAAAATATGAGGAAATAAAAAAAAATATATATATATTTTGATTTCAATCTATTCTAGAATTTATTTATCGGATTCTATATAACTTCAATAACACATGATTTATTTTCCAGACATTTATATTTAATACATACTGAATGTTTTTGTATATATTCCACCTTCAGCATTGCATCGATACTAGAAAAATGATCAAAAAAACATGATTGATCATTGGTAAAACAATACTTAACATACGATAAGAGCTGGCCACCATGGAAAACTACCTAATTTTGACCAAACAATATCACCTGGTTCATATAGATCAGCACCAATTGAATTATCATCAACGGAATGTACGGATCTTGTTTTTATTTTTATTAAATTTTGTTTATTTGATTTAGGTGTAGTATCCATTTCAATTTCATTTGTTGTTGGATTTTCAAATATAAATTGTGGATCTTGTCTTAAACGACGTTGACGTTTTCTAGATGTAGATTCTAAAACTAATATAAAATAATCAAAAAAAAAACAAAAAACAAAAAGAAATTTAGATTTACCTGAAGGTGATTGTTCTGTAGCCATGAATATTTTATCTAAAAGAAAAATAAAACGATAATCGAAGGAAATGAAAATATTCTTTGATTATATGTTCGATCAAAATCAAAAGTGAAAAATTCTATGTAGACTTCAAAAATCATCGAATTGAAAATTGGGAGATGCGAGTTCAAAAGATGAATTGAACTGATAACTTAAAAGAAAGTTAAGCGAATCTCATTCGTCAAGTAAGATATTTACTAACAAAAGTCTTTCATTTTTATAGGACTCTCAAGTTATTAGCACTGAAAAGAAAAGTTCGAAAAATCAATTGACTAATAAACTCAGCTCATAACATTCAATCAATAGTATCTGAAAGTCTTCTAATTCAAGTAAAGATTCTCTTACTATAAGATAATCTGTAATTTTTTTTTTATTTAATTTACAAAGTTTCAATTTGTACATATCGATCGAATAAATACTGATATTTGTTTATGTAAACTTATATTTTCAATAAAAAAAGCTGAGTGATACTTGTGGTTTTTTGTAAATAACTAAGCATCTCAAAAAAAGAAGTATTTTCACTAATATCTCTCAGATTGGCATATTTCGGAACCAAAACTTGTTCATTGGCAGTAATATCTTTTATGATCATGTAAAACTCGCGTCGAATATCATATTATCATGTCTAGAGATGTGAAGGATTAACTGTAGTCTCGGTTCCGGAACTAAAGATTATAATGAAACTAGCGTGAGCTCGTGTTGTTTTCTCCTTTAACATATGACTTCAGACATTTGACTTTTCATCCGGTAACATAAATACACACACTCAATATTATATATATAGATAGTTAGCTACGACTTCATACCCTTATATCGCACATATCTTTATAGTCCAAGTAGCCTTCACCCTTATGTCCCTTGTAGCCTTATATTCTTATTGCCTTACTCCCTTCAACACCTATGGGTACCCCGATAGAGTAGCCCCTCAGGAGCTATAAGTATCCCCATAGGATAGCTCTTGGCGACCTATGGGTATCCCCATAGAACGGCTCTTGAGGACTTATGGGGGACTCATAAGCAGCCCTTGGGACTTTTCCTTATAGCCGTATTCGACCTTTGACTTGGCACAGAGAAACAGACACTGAACATAATATATATAGATATTCTATAGTTCTAAGCGAATTATCTGATAAATCATATCCATAAGAATATCATTCAAGAGAAATAACCCAAAAAAGTACTATTCTTTCTAGGGCGGAACCGGAACCACTAGAAAAGAAATTACCGAAACTGAAATGACAAATAGATATGACAAAGACAGCTCCGATCCGCTCGAGTCTTATTTCTTTTTTTTCGTCAGCACTGAGACTGAAATTAAAAAAATAACTTCTAAGTTCATTTTTCTCTTAAGAATAAGCTAAACATTATGAGATTTTGATAATTGTCTCATAGTGCAAAAAAAAAATATATATATATATAAAACAAGATACTTTTTGTTTCATCACTATTTCATTTCATAATGAATACAAATTTCTATAATGAAAATCTAAATCTATTCTAATGAAGAAAAAAGAAAAATTCTAATGAAAATTTTGTTCTAAATTCATATGTGCATGTAATAATGTTGCTAATTGCCATTTTTTTAAATCAATTTTATCACTATTTATTGGCATTAATGTTTGTTTAAAATCTTTAAACCATTGTCGATGTTTAAGTATAATTTGTGGATATTTTAATAAAAAATCATAGAAAAAATCATTTTGAACAAATAACATTCGATGATGATAATTCATTAAACCAATATTAATAACATATTGTTCAACATGTAATTGAGCATCAGTTAATGTTAATAATGTATTTAATCGATGATTAATTAATTCATTAACAAGACGAATTTCTTCATAAAGTGTTAATGATGGAATACCTACAAAAATTAGACAACCATAAAGTTTTCTTTTTTTTTTTTTGTATTAAAAATTAATTAATAAAAAACAAAAACAAAAACCTTTATCAAGAAAATGACAAATAGCAGTTGTAAGTGATACGGGAGTAGATGATGTTGATGTACTAAATTTTACAATAACAATATCATTATCTAATTCATTTTCTGTTGGTATAAGAAATGATTTTGACTAAATAAAATAAAAAATTGATAATAAACAAAAATTAAAATAAAATAAAATTATACTTGAATTTTTGATGTTTGATCAATTTCATTTGTTTCTTTTCGTATTGAATTAAATGAAAATGTTCTATTAATTTTTTCAGTTGTTATTGATTTATTTGATAATGAATCAGTTATATTATTTGATACTATTTGTTTATTATTTATAATCGATGATGAAGATAACATTTTTGTTGGTTGTATTTTACTTTCGAACTATAATAACTTACTTGCGATTGCTGTTCTTCTTTATCCATAGAAATACGATTCGACAATACTGTTGATTCTTTTCCTAAAGATAAAAATCATAAATATAGATGTATTGATGAATAGCGATTGAAATAAAAAACAATAGTAGAAAACTTATTGGCAAAAAAAAACCTAAATTTTAACATCTCGAAAAATTAATTTAGGATATTAAAAATATTTATTTTTATGTCCCGGTTCAATTGATTGTCTTACATTTCTAATCATAAATTTAGTGATTAATTTTATTACCTTGTTGAGGTATTGAATATTTAGTACCAGCTAATAATGGATAAAGCATTTTTTCAAAAGCATTAATACGTAAATCAATCGGTAAACCTAAAATTTCATCGGCTTCTTTGATTGCATTTTTCCTAAAAACTCCCCAAAAAAAGGTCTAAGTATTAAGAATATCAATAAAATATACCATAAAGGATGTAATGCTTCTGAGATTTTTACATTAAATCTTTTTCGTATATGTTCTTCTGTTTGTTTTGTTGTTGCCTTATGAAAATTTAAAATATTATTCAAATTATAAACAAAAAAATAATTACTTGTTCAACTCGATTTTCTGAATAATTAATAAATTCTTCGAAACCTTTATATCGAAAAAGACATGTTTGATGAACCCATCCATGCTAAAAAATTACTAAATAAATATAGTACATTTTTATCTAGATTAATTACTTTGAAATGTGAACCCAAACAATAAACAAAATATTGTTTTTTCGTTGGTAATCCAGATTTTGCTATGAAAAAAAAAATATCAAATAAATTAATTATTAATAATAACTTACATATTGGTTTAACATATTTCCAATTATCCAAAAAACAACCTAGATTTTCAATATTATATCATAAGAATATATTTTTTCTTCAAACTAATTTATTACCGTAAATAAATGATGGCCACCTAGACAACAAAAAAAAAAAGAATATAAATTTCAAATTAGACTAATTCTAGTCGTATTTTTTATTATTCTAACGAGGGAAGGCCACCAAGTGTTCCCTCGCTTTTAAGTCGGGACTATATGCATCATGTAGTCCCTAATGAGCTATGAATACCCAGAAAAGAGTTCGGGCTAATATCTTATTGCTGATGAGATATTGCATTTTTACGGTATTTTTTATTCGAAGGCTGTGGTACCCCTCAGGAACACGAGAAAAACTGATTTTCGAATTTCGACTTGAAACTTTGCACAGAGATAGGACTTAATGGGAATAGTGTATTATGAAAGTTTCAGATCTTTTCGTTGTCTTATCCGGAAATACGAACATCGAGTCTTCTCATGTGTATGAGCGATGTAAAAGGCACACTTTTAGCATAGCCGTATCTTACGGTAGGAACAACGAAAAGATCTGAAACTTTCACAATAAACTATTCCCATTAGGTCCTATCTCTGTGTAAAGTTTCAAGACGAAATTCGAAAATCAGTTTTCCTCGTGTTCCTGAGAGGTACCACAGCCTTCGAATAAAAAATATCGTAAAAATACGATATCTCATCAGAAATAAGCTATTAGCCCGAACTCTTTTCAGGATATTTATAGCTGATTAGGGACGACACGATGTACATAGTCCTGACTCAAAAGCGAGGGAACAGTTGGTGGCCTTCCCTCGTAAGTTCTACTACACGGACTAGGCTCTAATAGAAAACGAACTTGCCAGTTATGTGTAACTCTAAGTCCGATACGATTTATCAAAAAAAAAGTTCAGTTTTTGTTTTAGGGCTGTTCAATAGTTGTAATTTCTAATGTAAATTTTACCATGAAAGTCCATTTAATTTTGCCCAAACAATATCTCCAATTTGAAATTCATTTTCCAAAATATCAAATATAGATGATTCTAATATATTATCATTAGATAGTTTACGTTTTAATTGATTTTTATCTAAATAATATAAAAATTAATACTTATTCATATTATTAATATAATATAATACATTTATCCGATGAATTTGTCATCTACAATAATATATATATATCAAGAAAGAAAAAAAAATAGATTGATTGTTCTTTTTTTTTCGTTTACATTCAATAAAAAAAAAAAAGTCAATTTAATAGATGTACAAATAATACGAGATAGAGATGGAAAAAAGAGAGAGATTATTTCTTTTGATTTTGAATAATATCTTTTATTTGACATTGTTTTAAATAAATTGGATCATCTTTTATTACTTCTATATCTTTATTAAACCAATGAGAATATTTTAATATAATATCTGGATGATTTAAAAGAAAATCTTAAAAAAATAAAATTAATAATAAAAATTTTTTGTTTTTTATTATTAAATTTACCATAGAACCATTCAATTTGTATACATGACATATCATAATGAAAATTTTCTTTTATTATTTCAATAACTAATTGACAAACAAATGATAAAGCTTCATCTAATGTTAATTCTTCTTGTTTTGAATGATCAAGAATATTATTTACTATTTTTTTTTCATCTTTTTCTGTTAATATAGGTAAACCAACATGTAATAATGTTATTGATATAGACTAAGAAAAAAATAAATTAAATTTTGTATGATTATTTTATTTCTAATTTCAAAATTAATTTCATTAAATCACTCGAAAATCTAAATTTTAATAGATCAAAAAAAATTAAGATAATTTTTATGATCGTGAAAA